TCCTGCCACAGGCAGCACCACCAGTGGGTCTTGATGAAGCGAACAGGCTGGCTTCTCATTTGTTTCTCACTGTCAGGATGATGAGTCCAACTAGATTTCTTTCTGTTTGTGTTTGCTGCTTGTTTGTGCTGACAAAACACATGCATAGTTTGTAGTTCCCTCATTTCAGCTGGTTGCTGTTCCATTTTAATGCGAGGCACTTCATTGGAGGTCATTTACTCAGTATGTTGCTGGGCCATTTACAAATATGAACTGATGAATATTTCATCATTGTTCACCAGGAATTCTGTTGAAGTGTCGAGCTTCATGGCAGTGAGTCAGTATGTGATGCACTCAACCTGAAATCATTTCTTTGCAGCATCTCTCATCAGGTGTGCTAACTGCTGACGTTTGGAAGAGGGAGGAATACATATATGTATTAACACAATACTCTTTATCTCACCTTGATTCTACTTAAATATCCATGTTAATCAGTGTTGCTTGGAGAAGGGGCGCTTTCGATAAAATAGCAAGAGCAGCCATCTAATCCCATTCACTGTGAGTGCAATCCCCAGTCTTCCTTTCCTTCCTGCAGTGCCACACCTCCGGGAGGGAGGCCCTGCTGGAATCAGAGACTCCCTCTTTAGAATAGGCACTTGCAGCAGAGGAACAGAGACCAGTTTATCTTGCTGCAAAAAATGGAATTTTTTAGAACACATTCTAATGGAAGCAGGGCACGGCATGCAGGGGACACATGCCTGTGTTAACGCCTGCTTGAGACTGCAAAGAGCCTGGAGCAATCGTTCTGCAGAGGGATGCCCAAGCTATTTGTCTCAGAGACCAATGATGATTCAGGCACCAGCATCATTAGGTGTTTTATTGCTGAACCAACTGAAAAAATCAGAGTCTAGGATAGAGTACCAAGGTTGGCAGCGGGGTGTGTAAGGTAGTTTACCCTGCAGCTGAGAGGGAGAATGTTGCTCTGTTGATGGTGGAGTGGCAGCAGAATGTCCCAGCTGCATGATGCAGATGTGCTGATGGCAACACCTCCCTCCTCACTTGCTAACTGATGAAAAGCCAGTGGGAAGGCATTCTCTGTAATGGTGGTGTTTACACCAGTGTAAAACAGTATTGCACTCCTGGATTTTCTGGATTGTGTGGCTTTCATGATGGTTGAAGTCTCACACTAATAACCAGGGCTGTAGAGTGCTGTGTTACACTAATGAAAAAACAATCCAGCCAACAGGGCCTTGTAACCATCCATGCTTCTTCAGCCCTCTCCTTTGGTGCTGTTGATGGTGAGTCTGAAGGAGCCTGAAGGAACAAAGGTTATTGTGACCATGTCAGATACAGAAGGCTGGGTGTACCTGAAAGCTGTCTCCATCTCTGTACACTCAGAAATCTCTCTCTGGTGCCTAGACCCGAGGGATGGGCTGCAAAATCTGCCTGCTCTTTATTTAATGTAGGATCGTTTTCTGCTGTTTCTGAGCTAGAGTGAAGGAGGGAAGTTGTGAATACACAAAATTTGGTAGCTGTGTGGGAAGTAGGGGGTCATCTTGACATATGCAGAGGAGAAAAGCTGGTAGTTTGGAACCAAGCTCCACAATTCCTCTGAGTGAAAAATGAGATAGACTCCTCATCTTTTCACTCTTTCATCTCAGCTTGTCAATCTTAATATATCAATATTGATGTTAATATGTCAATATTGCAGTTTTCCTGGCACAGTGTGTGCCTATGTAACAGGCCACCTGATGCTGCACTGCAGCAGCCAGGTCCTACAAACCTGAATGCTCTGCTTTGTGTGGAGCTCTTGCCATACACTGTGCAGAACAGAGGTAGGAAATTTTGAGACTGAGTTTTGTGCTAGTGACACTGTCTAGACTCTGCTATTCAAAGAGGTCTACTGTGTACTCTTGGTATATAAACTAGCCCACAGCACCAAACTACCTGGAACTAGCTTTAATTTTACTGATCTGAAGGCTTTTTGCTTTAGGGTTTTTTTTTGGTTCTTTTCTTTTCAAGATTTTGTGAAGTCTGTAGGGACTGGAAGTCTGTAGAGCATGGACAGCCCACCACTATGCTATTCATATCTGCTTGTGTATGTATAGAAGTACAGTATGCCTTCTATTATTGCATGTTTTGGAAGAACCCCCAGAGAGGTCTGGCTCTCCTAGGTACAATGTCATAGCTGTCACTTGGTTTCTTCCCCTCAAAAGGGCCCAAACACAGTGAAGGCATTTGCTGAAAAAATAGAGTTAGGCGAGATGTACTTTTTGTGACTGCAAGCTTTAATCACCATTCTGCCAGACGCTTCACTAATATGGCTGGGAAAATAAATCTTTAAACACTTTAAACCCCTCTGTGCTTCATCTCTACTTTTTATGAGTATGTTTTGGAAGGCTTTTGTTTGTGTTTTATTCTCTTTAAACTTGACTTATCTCTTCATGTTTTTTCAGGCTCATACCCTAAAATACAAAGTGCTCAGTGAAAGCCAGCTTGTAAAAGGAGGATAATGTCTGGAAGTTAGATGTATGGGAACTTGATGCCAATATTCATGATATGCAATGAAAGCAGGCAGTGTGGAAAAGAATGTGAGGGTGTCCTAGACTCCATCATAGTCTTTATTGGGCTTCCTCACAGATTTAAAAAAATATACTTGGATTTTTAATTTGACAAAATGTAATGACAGAATGAAACTGATTCTGTAGTCAGTTTCCCCAAAACAGCTCAATTAACCTGTCGATCTCTAAAATACAATTAATAACTTTTTGTAGAGTGAGACTTTTTTTCTGTGGGGGTGCAGGCATGTGTGGGTGGTCACTGAGCATACATGGTACTCTAATCTCTTCTCACTGTCTCTCTTCCATTCTCTATTTTTGAGGCACACAGATATTATGGGCCAGAATTTGCCACTTCTGTCAACCCAGAAATAAACAGGACTAGTCATAGGGCAAAACATGACTTGCTACAAATGCAAGTGACAGAAATTGTACCTGAATGGTCATTTTTAGTAATACTTGGTTAATTTCCAAAGTGGAGAGCAAATTAATGAACTTGTATTAGGATTAGGAGAACAAAGAGGAATGTTTGCCATCCTTGAGCAACTTGGTGAAGGGAGGACAATTACAATGGAAATTGCTATTTAAGGTAGTGTCTAAATTTTGGTTCAGGGTAGGTTTTCTCACAGCATAGTTGACATTTCCCAGTATTTCACACTGATTTTACAGTACTTCAGCCATGAGTTAAGTAAGTTCAGACTTTGCATGAAAGAATATAAATATAGCAGATTTCACTTTTTTACTTAAAAAGTAGATGCTGCACCTCTCTGTGTCACCCATTAGTCACTTTTGTCACCAGATACGGTTACTGTATGTTCTGCCAGCTGATGTCTTTGCTTGATGTCCATCTCTTAAGGAAGCTTGGACTGTGAGAACCATCAAATATAGTTTAGATTTTGGTGTAGCAGAGGAAGGACAAGAGGCAACAGACACAAGTCACAGCAGGGGAAATTACAGCTGGATGTAAGGAAGAAAATGTTCACAGATAAGATGGCCAAACACTGGAAGAAGTTGTTCAGAAACACTGTGATATCTCATCTTTGGAAGTGGGACTAGAACACCTCCAGAAGTTCTTTTGTACTTGTTATTCTGTGGTTCCATGATTTTGTGCAAGAGTTTGAGCAAGTGTCTTACACAATCCTTATGCTTTTGTAAGGCATCAGAAACTCTCCCAAGAAAGTGTCTTTTTATTCCTTTCAGAAATAAAACTTCCTCAATATTCTCCATACCATGATCCATTTGCCACAGCTGTGCAAACTTCCACCTCTCACCCCATGCACAATTAACTTTGGTTTTGCCTTTTTCTTCCTGTATGTGAAAATGGCTTTAAGACCCATCTCCAGCTGAAAACATCTGCTTTAATGAAGAAACTGAAATGTGCATGACAACACATAAAAAGTTAGGCATACCTCAGCCAAAGACCTTTACAGGTATCTCTCTGTGCCCCTCAAGAGATTCCCATGGAAAGCTTCTCCCTCTGGCAAATGTTGCTAAGGGGAATTTGTTAGAGAGGGTTCTTCTCTTTTCATCATGTAATTGATGAGCTAGCTCCTCTTCCCCCCCCCTAAAGTTTCAGGCCACCAGGCCTAAACAGACTGCCAATGAGCACTATATCAACCTTCAAAATGAAACAGAGAAATTGGCTTAGGTTTCAAGAGGTTGGAATGAGGATCAGTGCTTTGGATTAGCCAAATGTTGTTTCGTCCATAACAACAACTCTGAGTAAGACACAAGGCAAACAGGAATTTTTTCTATGACTTAAGTTTTGAAAAAAATATCATCTCTTACTCTATGTGAGAAAAAAATTGCAGAAGACTATTTATCCACAAGTTTTCTATGTTTTTTCCAAAATTATAGGACAATTCAGGTTGGAATTGAATTTGGGAAATCTGTAGTCCCATCTCTAGCTGAAAGTAGGATAGGGAGTGAGGTTAGACCAGGTTACTAAGGGTTTTACTTAGTCAGGTGCTTAAATCCTCAAGGACAAAAGCTTCACAACCCCCTTGGACTACTCTTCCAAAGAGGTCAGTTGTTCCAAATTTTCTGGAAAAACACCGGTAAGCTGAAGCCCTAGCTCAAAGGAGTGTGTTGCACTGTCAGCAGAGAACAACCTGACTATGGCCTGAATAACTCATTAAGATGTCCTCCAGCCTTCCCTCCGAAAAGTGGATCTGGTAGCACTGGAGGTGCCAGCAAGACTGTATCCTAGTTCGAGTTGCAGCTGAGCTTCAATGCCATCACTAGTGCTGGCACCCTCCTTGTCTTCAGCCCTGGAGCTCTTCCAGTTCTGGACAAAGTCACACTGGCCTTAAAATCCAGTGCTGAACTCTGGAAGAAACATGGGAGTTTTTGTTAATTTGGTGTTTATGAAACAAACTGCTGAATGGTACTCCTTTATTAGCTATTAGGGAGGACAGTTCAAAATTTCTGACTGAGATCTGATGCAAATATTTTACTTTTGAGTCTTTGCAGAAGCAGCTGCAAGTTGGGTAAATGGCGGTGTATGCCAGCTGAGTGGAAAGATGGCACAGGCTACTGGGTATCACCGAGGAATTCCTGGTTGAGAGATTATGGCCAGAACTCTATGGGAAGACAGACAACTGCAAGGAGTAGGATCAGCAAAATTCCTGAGCACTTGCAAAGTCCCTTCTGCCAAATGTTGTAATCTCAATATTCAGGCCACTTTCATGGGTTCTCATGAGTGATCTATGAAGGTAAGATAGAAAAGTTTATTGCATCATTGCCCCTGTTTCCTTTTCCATGGACTTGAACTTGAGGAAGCACTTTTTCTGGGTCAGTTTCAACAGGACAGATGAATTTCTGGCATTTATCTTGATACTCACTGCCAGGGAAAAAAAAAAAAAATCAATATTTAATAATTCTTTTTTAATAGACTTCCTGTGTCCCTGCTCAGAATATGCAAAGTCACCAAGAGCTTCACAAAGGCATGGGAGCAGTAAAAGCTGTGCTCTGAATGCTATCACATGCTATCTGTTGTTGTTGCTTTCAAGGACTTCCCATACTTGCAGTGTGTACAGTAATCTTAACCTGACATACTCAAATGGCTTCTTTGTTAACTAAGCAAGGACAAGAAACAGCTTGTTTGAAGAGATGCATGTTTCCTTTTGATAATGATGCCCTCCATCAGCCTATTCATGGTAGAAGCAGGGCTTAATTAACAGCTTTCCTATGGTCACTTGTCCCCCTCTGGTCTGGCTCAGAACTCAGTCATGGTGGCTTTCTTACATTTATACACTACCACAGAGGCTGCTCTCTTTGTCCTGCTGGACAAGGATGGCAAGATATGGCTTGTATTTTGGGATCAGTACAGAAAGAAACATGTCAGACAGGGCCTGACATGCTGAGCTTACTTCACTCTAAGGGAGTGAAGGAGTAAAGATCATCTGAAGTGTGCAAGTAACACAAGCTTCGAATTTAAGGAGGTTAGGGTAAGCAGAAGCCCAAATTTTACTCATAGTTAATTGAACATACACTTCCAGATTTTTTCAGGCTGTTGTACCCAAATAGACACATTTCCTTCACACCTTAGTTACAAGACAATTCAGATAAGTTGAGACTTGTTTCCACAAAGCAGAAAGTGCTTTTCAGCAGTCTTTTAATTTTGTAGTGCATGCTAGACATTCTGTGGTGGTTTTTTTTCTGGTTTTCCCCTTTCAAACTGTGCTGCTATATATCCTTTACAGCTCAACATGTTCTTTGGTATAGGGACTGAATCCTTATGAGAGGAACCAATTTGCAGTCTTTGGGTAGCTCCCTGTAAGATTCATGCAAATTAGAGCATAGATTGTCATATTTTACTTCCTGTTCTAATCAACTTTCCGGCTTTTTCCTTTCTGTGTTGTGCTTCAGGTTTCAGGGATGTTTGCTATCTGTATCTGTCCTTGCCCTACTTTTAACCAAAAAAGAAATAGGAAATTAGTTTGTCTTTTGCAACTGATCTGCTAGCAAAGCTGTGCTTGATAATAAACATGTAAACGCTCTAATTCTACCTGGTGGCCATAGGCTTCTGTTAATGGTTTCATGTGCAGAGAGCTGTGTTTTAGAACCAGCAGTTTCCAAGACCAGCAACTTTTTTCGTGTTGACACTGCAAGTAACAACCACAAAAGTTTGGAGACCTCATCTTTGCCTATAAATACTCCAAATGAATCTTTCTTGGCCCTTCATAAGGTCTTGTAACCTAAACTACATGGTAAAATCCAGCCACTGAGGATTTATGAAGCTTGGGTAATGACAATTTATTGACCTCTGTATTCTTGCTCATTTACAAAGAGAGCCAGCTGAAGGAAAGGCATTCATACTTTATTACTCTTCCTTGAACAATGACATTTTTATTCCCCAAGAATTGTTTTTCTTTTAATTTGGAGGCAAAACACAATTTCCCTTAATTTGACACATAACCGAATATTGGCCTGACATGCTTTGAGCTTCTTTTCTAATAAATACAGATTTCACTGTCCAATCTTACTTTCTAGTAACTGCAAGATTAAAGTTGAACAACAGGCTGTTCAAGAGGAATAAAAGTAATTTCTGAGGTGTTGTAATTGCATTTTTTCCCTACAATAAAATAGATATTTTTGACTGCTCCCTCACAAATCAACCTAATTTGAGTTGATGCTCTGCTGTTAGAAATACCTCAACAAAATGATAGAAACTATTATGACAATATCAGATATAATTAAACATGGACACTGAAGAGTTTGTGTCCTAAACCATGCACTGCTGTAAAACTACCAGTTCTGGAAAGAGCAAATGCCAGCAATGCTACTCTGCCATCAAACGTGTATGGGTTTGTTGGCTGTCTCAGACTTGCTAGAATATATAGTGGCTGAATTTTGCCTGCTTTCCCTTGATAGAAAGCACTAATTTTGGTCTTAACTCTCTCTCCAGCTGTCAGATCCCTGAAACTTATAAAAATATAATTATCAGTGATAGTCCAGCCCTCCTTTCAAATCTGGTTAAAATTAGCTAAGGAGAAAATTCACTAAAGGGTGCTGGCAGACAGACATCAGGCCAAAAATACATCAGGCATCGTGTGAGCTGCGTGTTTCATGGGTAGCTGCTAATTTAGTACTGCATTTCTCCCAGAGCAGCACTTGGAGATAGCTACTCTGGTGTCCAGGAGCTGAGATTCCTTGGTGCCTGTTTCAGTGAAGAGCTACTTGGAATTGTTTGTGTCTGTCCCTTCCAAGCACCGCTGAGTGTTGCTGCATGCTGTCAGAGGGGGCTTGACACCTGAGGATTTTTTGTTCCCTGTGGACTTGGGGGCACACCAGACATCTGTACACAAGGCAGTGGAGCTGCCCCTATGGGCTTGTGTGTGGCCAAGGGCTGTAGGTAAAAGCAGCAACAAGTCTGTAACAGCATGGGACTCCTCTCTGGAAAAAGACCTTGGCCCTCAGTGAGTACCAAAGTACCAACCTCTGCACAACTTGGTGTTGTTATGGACAGAAAGAGCTTTAACTCTAGAGCAGAGTTAAAGCCATGGGTCTCCCTGCTCTAGGGGCGTTTCTGACTGGGTAAGACACAGTCCAGCTGTTCTGTTTTGAGCCTGTGTAGAGTAAGTGCATTTAAGTGTGTGGCAGGTGCTATATCCAAGGTAAAACACCCATTTGTGTGTGGCAATGTCTTCTCAGTAGCACAGCTTCCTCTATAGGCTCTGCTGAAGGGCTGATTTTCATTGAAATGGGGGGGTTACTGGTCTTGGGACCTACTGCTACAGAAGACCCATATTCCTGGATTTAACCTTGTGCCTGAGAGCATCTCTGTTGAAATTTGTAGGCAGGTTCATCTAGGCACATTTAAGCTATGTGAGTTGTCTTGGCTGTGGTCTTTCTGCAAGGTATGTTTAATATGCTAAGTCTGCAAGGGTAGCACAAGCACTCTTCTACTTGTGTGAAGGACACAGTAGTGTGACACCTGGCTTTCCAAGGTGCCCTGCAGTGGTGAAGGCTAAAAAAAGTATTTCTCCATTGCACAGTGCAATTTGATGAACAGATTTCAAAGAGAGCGCTAAACTATTTAGCTGTAAGTACAGTAAGCAATATAGCTGCATTAGCACAGAGCTCAGCTAGGTAAATTAGCATTGTGCAGCATAGACATATCCTAAAGTTCTGCTATGGTTTCCTCAGTGACGCTTTTTCAAAACATGGCTTGAAAATAAATTACGATTTTTTTTCACCCCTCCAAAACACTGAGATAGGAAAGCTTACATACATTTTCCTTTTTAAAAAAATCTCACTATCTTATCTTTCAAAATAAATTCTAGTCTGAATACCTAATTTTATTTAATGGGGTTTTTTTTGCTTTTATTGGTGGCTTCCTCTCATTCATCTGAGCCTGGATCCCCTGTAACCAAAAGCTGTTTCAGCTGGGGTACAGAAGAGACTCCCTTTGTATTTTAAAACCTATCATTTCAGTTCCCTCGTGACCTCATGATAGAAGGCTAGACATGATCAGAGAAGGAATAGAGATCTAGCATTATTATGTCCCTACATAAATCTATGCAGTTCTGATCATACCATCTCAAATAGGATGCAGTAGGACTGGCAAATGCTCAGGGAAGGGCAAGGATGATAGATGTGGATTATATGGCATGAGAGTAAGTCACATTCTCCAGTCTGTGGGGAGATGGTGGAGGGCTGCCATGGAGGTCTGCTGTGAACAGCACGGAGAAGGTGAGTAAGGAGCTGCTAAGGGCTGATACAATGTTAGAAGATGTGGTGCAATTCCCTGAAGGAATAGGTTTGGAAGTCTTCAAGGAAGAAGCCTCCTCTCAGAAGCCTCCTGATAAGCTGTGGAACTCACTGCCACAGTGTGTGGGCAAGTCCAAAAATTTAAAAAGAGTTAAAAGAAGGACATGGGTTACTTTGATGCTTGTTTATCAATGATTAAGGGAAATCAAGAAAGTAAGACTGGGTTATTCAAAGCAGGAATAACAGATTATTATCCTTTGTGCTTCTAGGAGTGGTTGTGGCATCGCTGGTCAACCCACAGGGACATTGTAGGTACTAAGATGTTTCTATATGTGGCTGCAAGTTCTACACAGTGTAGACCCAAAACACTACTGCTGAGGTGTATTTTATCACAGAGGAAGAGTATCATCATAACTCTACCTGCTTGAAGAGACTGAGAAAATGAAAGCTGACATGGTGTGTCAGAGGTTGATGTCCTGACACACTTCCCCCGCATTCTTTAAGTCAGGTGCTTTGGGAATTCCTGAGATTAAAGTTACACAAGTGTTGCTCTACTTAGTCAAGTACAGTGGCTATTTTAGAGCCCTGTAAATTGGAAATAAGGGCTGGGAAAAAATTAGATACAGCCAAGATGGTAAGAGTATATTTGAGGCCTCGGTCCTGCAACTATTTAAATATCATGTATAGTGTTCACTTTTGAGCAACATACTAAGGAGAAAGTGGTTTTGCAAGGAGACTCTTGCGTCAGTAGAGAATAAACTACATTTAATATTTGCTGAAGTTGTATATAGCTAACTTTTCTCAACGGGTTGTAGCTTTCCGTCATACTTGTTTAATGTCTGCAAGGTGGTTTTCTTCCTCCTGGCTCCACCATCCCAATAATTTGATCAATGAATAGAATGAAGTCATGGACCATTGACATTTTCCCTCCTCCAAAGTGGTATGATAAAAGAAATTAAGTTTATATGGACTTTTAAATTGGTTTGGTGTTTGGGGCAGT